TCCAGTTTTTCTTTACTATCGCTCAACTTTTAATCTAAAACTACATTATCAACTATTTTTACCATGCGAATCCGGCCTGGAACTGTTGCTTTAAGTCCAGATTTTGGAATAAATTATGCGTTGAACATGTCCGCCGCATCATTGACTTGATGAAGAATGAGTTGAGAGCTGCATCGGATCTGATGGGGGTCACTTTAGAACTTCTTTGCAACCATAAAATATTATGGTTTAACGTTTTATAAAATAGTTGCTTTCAAGTTTCCGTGAACAAAAAAAGTGAAGTTTTACCTTTTGTAACATAATTTTTCGCCACCTTGATTCAGCCATAACGCTAGGCCATCGAATTAAGGTTCCACCCAACAACCTCGTGAGGCACAGAACAAATAACACCCACACAACTGTCCTGTACATCGGCTGGTCCCCGCAAGCCTTATTGAGGCTATGCCGCCTTCGAATTTGCTGCGAATCGGAATGGAGGTAAAATGCGGGCGCACCATAAAAAGGGATTGAGCGAATGCCTATTTATTCATACTTGGAGGGGAAGGTACCCAAAGAGGTGAGGAAGTGGTAAACGGCGCCGCCCTCCACTAGCATGGTCCAGGGATCCGCTACCAACTGACCGACCACGGAGGAACAGAGCGATTGGTTGGCATGGGCGAGGTCCGATTCGAGATTCCCCCAGACCGTGTGCATGGAAGATGACGCCACTTGCCACTTTACCACCCACCCTGCGTCACAACAGACCGCATTTGAAAACATTTCCTCATTAACAGTGGAAAAAAACTAGACGATTTTAAATGTACCGCATTTGTAATGAGGTGATCCCAGCTGTGAAAAAGTGTACAATACCTCTCATGTACGATACCTCTCAGTGCTATTGAAAGGTGTGATCCCTCCCCCATACGGCCGCCAACAGCGTAGAGAAAGTTGTCAAGAACAGCAACGCCGACTCCATCCCTGCAGTGACTTTTCGAGAACAAAATCACCTTCTGAAATGAATGTAGTACCTTTGCTTTTTCATAGAAGT